CTTCAGATACAATTTCCATTCTCATTTAAAATATCCAAGTGTTTTTCTCTGATTAAAGTCTACAGTTTGTTGTTGTTTATTGCTCTGATGGGCTTTCTGATTGTATTTTGTCTGGTGATGAGTGAATTTCAAACAAACATTTTTATAGGATAATTTTAAAAAATGGATTTTAACTGCTTTTATTTTACTATTCTTAATTAACATTCAAAAGATTGCTTATAATTTACATGATATTTGGATAAGTTGATGTATTATTTTCATTTAGGAATTATCAAAAAATGTATGGTTCTTTAAAAACAACTTTGACTAACCTTATATTAAACCTGGTGATGGGAAGATAATTCCATCAAACTTGTATTACAGTCATACTTTGGCTACAACTATATTTATTTGGTTACTTTAGTCCAAGCTACCCTTGTCTGTGCTTTTTTCCTTATCCTATATGAAATTTTCCTTATCCTATATTTCTTTATTACATTCTAGTGTTAATATACCATTATTTTGTTTAAATATATTGAAAAGTTTTCCTTTCCTTTTGATAGTTACATATTTGCCTTTTGAGATTAAAGCGCAATTTTACATTTTCATACAGGTATGGTTTTGATTCTTTATAAACTGAACACTGAATCCTCATTTTTAAATTATGATCTAAATGGCAAACAACTAGATGTTTCCACTTAAGATGTAAAACATTTGTATGTTACCTATAAACATGCTCAAGTCACCAAACTTCAAAACCTTATGGCATGTTCAATTGTCAATTTTTTTATTATTTAACTACACGGACTCTGAGTTTGGGTGACACACCTCTTTCACTATGGTCATCAGATGAGTTTCTCCAGGAAGTAGGTGCCATCTTCCTGTTCAAGCTGCAAGCAAGGCCTGGGTCCAGAATCCCTCCATGGCCATTTAAGTGGTTGGGGCTCTTAGCACTTAGCCTGCATATGAAATGTGTCCTTCCTACCCTAAAACACTCTTAGCTATCAAGTTGGGGGCTGTATCTGTTTTTTTCCACCAAACCCCTTAGAAGTTCAACTGAACTTATGGAAAGTTCCTGTTGGCCTGTACATTCAGCAGATAAATCCTAAAGAGAAAAAAGAAGGAGAACATACTTGTCCTTTTTTTCCTGACTTTTCCAGTTCCTCAGTCTCTTCATTTTAATGTGTCCCTTTCAAGTCTTCCCACCAACACAAGGGAAGCCTGGGTAACTAGTGTGTGTGTGTGACTCACAGTAGAGCCAAGATTGGGGGCAGAGAACTCTCCCGAGGCTCTGCTTACTAATGTAATTCCATAAATCAGCTAATGGGAGAGAAACCAGATCTGTGTGGTCTCTAATGCTGTCCCACAGAGATCAATCATGTCACCTGAACAACGTTCAGGGCCTAAGAGGCTGGGGTTGCCCATGGGACAATTTTATCCCTTGAGCTATACATATCAGGTTGGGATATTTTTAAAAAGTTATGTGTCAGAAATAGAACTGCTGTGAATACAAAAACTAAAAGATTACCTTTGTATGACACAAAGTGCTATTATGCAACTTATCATAATATAAAATCACATTTCTTAAAGTATTTGGGAATATGGATCACAAGTTTTTAACATGATTTGTCATATAAGGGGGATACAGCATTCGTAAAAACTCCTTTAAATAATTAATGATGGATGATTTTTAAATTTAGTAACTGACTAAATGAATAGTGTTATGTGCCAGGATATAGTGCGCAATATCATAGAAAAATTAGATTAGTCTTGTGTGAATTGTTATCATATGAAATATATTAAGGGGGTGGTTTAATAGGACTATTTCTGAGGCATTAAGATGCTCTTAACATGAGACGAGGCAGCAAATGTGGAAATAAATAAAACAGAGCTTTGAAAAGAATGCTAGGTGGGAGGCTTTAAACAATGTGGGCAAGAATCCCAAAACAACCGTGTGAGTGTCTCTTCATTTCCGTTTACTCGCCCAGAAAACCTGAGTATGCCGCCAATCTTTGGGATGAGAATAAGTCAAATATAAGAATTGCACAGGAGGTTTGAAGGGATACATAAGAATGTAAGTAATGATTAGATCCATATGTTAATTGGAATCCGTAAGATAAAGCCAACAAATAATAACTACTGAACTCCTGAAATCCACAGGTAGCATCCAGAATTAATCCTCAGATCACCATTCTCAGCTAGAACGTCTATCCGATCTCTAAAACTTCTCCACAGATGATGAGAACTCACAGGGACCCAATGAGAAAGGGAAGCAGGCCAGCAGGAGGACTTCTCACCAGCCTACAAGCCCTGCTGCAGCTTTGGCTCAGCCATGGGAGCCCTGTCACTCTGACCTAGAACCCTAACTATGTGGTCACACATGTGTTTGAGGCAATCATGCCACCATTGCTTTTTATTAATGACCTAGATAGAATCTTAGTCAATGAAACAAACCAACCAAAAACCTCACAACTTTTTTCTTTCTTTTTGACAAAGAACATTTCACTAATAAACTTAGCCTTGAGCCATGACCCATTCTCTAGTGGGATGAGCATACAGTTAGGAAAACTTCTTCAGAGTTCTACAAAGAGAGAAATGTGTTTCCCCTCCCACTCATATCCCTTCTGAAGAGCAACAGAACTTTTAAGCACTTGGATTTTAAACAATTAGGAAAAGCAATGCTATGGAATAATATGTGATTGAAATGCCTAAGGCAGCGGTTGGCAAACTGCGGCTCGCGGGCCACATGCGGCTCTTTGGCCCCTTGAGTGTAGCTCTTCCACAAAATACCATGTGTGGGCGCGTGCATACAGTGAGATTGAAACTTTGTGGCCCATGCGCAGAAGTCGGTTTTCGGCTCTCAGAAGAAATTTCAATCGTTTTACTGTTGATATTTGTCTCTGTTGACTGAGTTTGCCAACCACTGGCCTAAGCTATCACAAGATTGTGGGGAAACTATCAAAAGGAAGAAAAAGGAAATTTATGAATGTGTTTAGACTGATCAATCAGCATAGAAACTAGTACAGAAAACCTATTGGCACTCACATTAAGCTCCTTCGGAGTGGTTGTTGACTAATTGAATCAGAATTACTCATTGGTCCTATCAACTGCATACCCTAAATTGGTATGTAGGCAGCACCATGGGTCTAGCTATAAAGACAAGGCCTACCAGCAACACCAAATCTATAATTATAGATAATATCTGTAATTCAAAAGGAAAAAGAAAAGCCAGGTGATACTTATCAACCAGATTCACAGGAAATTTCAGGATAAACTCAATTTTCATTTCCCATGGGCCTTAGAGACCGAGAGATGTTACAATAAATTGATCTAAAAAAGAGAACTCAAAAGCTAAAAACTAACTTTTGCGGCCTAAGAAAAGACATGCACCTGCATTTTAATCATGGTTATTCTCTTTGCTTAAGCAGAGTTGCCAGAGAAAATGAAATAAACTGCTCTGGAGTAAAGTCAAACTTTCAACAAAGAGATGAGTACTCATACAAAGAGGAATAAATACAACATTTTGATGGAACCAATCACAATCAATAATCCTATCAATATACACTGATTATTTTTGGAATCCCAAAGTATTTTTTGCTTTACTTTATATTAATAAAATTTTGTTGAAAAACCTGTATCTTATTGGTGTTCAAACTGCAACAAGAATCTCCAACTCTTAGCTTTCATTCTCTTAAAGACCAGTCCTTTGTGGATAAAACTCCTTTAAGCAGTGTTCACAATTTTTTAAAAGAACATGTAGGTGCCCTTCTGATGATAACTTGTGAGAGCCACTATCACCCTACAAACCAACCCACAGAATACTCCCAAATGCTAAATCTACCACCTATGGTCTCATATTCACATGATCATCTAGCCATCTACTCTGTGAAATTCATCAAGAATCCAATTATGATTATTTGTCCATATTTCTATGCTAAAAATACCGCCAAAACCATTTGCCTGTGGTTTTCCATTTCCGCCCTGCTTGTTTTGGTCAGGTTACCATTGATGTGTTTCCATCAAACACATCACTTTTGTATTTAACATAATTAAAAGTCTAATTTAACATTTACTTTAGTGATCATCAATACATTGTCTCTCTTAAGGACATCTAGGAAAAGGAAACTATTATGGACCATACAGGGTATCAACCAGAACTGTGCTTGTTTATAGAACAATTCTGTGGCCACAAAATGGTTACTTTGTCCAAAGCAGAGCCCAAAGCATGTATCTTTTGGCAACTGAGCTCTTTCTGGAACTATGTAAAACAATTCTTGAGTAAAATTAGGATCACCTGTATTACTTGAACTAATTGTATTCCTTTATTCTAAATCAACATCTCTTTAAAAATTGCAGGTGGTATTTGGCTTTCTCAAAAAAAAAAGAAAATACTAGGTCTTCAGAAAATAAAATGGGAGCCATGTTGAAGAGAACTATTCTAGAAGCAGGTAGAAAAATCCCATTTAGAATCCAAGTATTTCAGCTTTCATGATTACTCTGTGTGTGTGTGTGTGTGTGTGTGTGTGTGTGTGTGTGTGTGTTCCAATGGGCACATAGGCTTGTGTGCCACAAACCGAGTCCTCACTGTTATAACTGGGCCACCAGTGAGCCTCTCCTAGCCAATCAAAGTATATAGAATGTGATGTGTCCAATCCTTTGGGCAGAGATGCTTTCAAAAATAATCAGAAGGGGAGGGAGGGGAACCTGTTTTACCATCTGAATGTGAAACTTATGATTTTTTTTTTTTTCCAAACCAATTACATTAGGTTTCCCCTCTGAGATGAAGAGGAGGGACGCCCTTCCCCTCTGGAGGGCGGGTCCACAGGAAGTGCAGCTGAGGAGGTGGTGACGCCTGTGCCCTCCAGCACACCACCTACCAGGGCACCTCACAACCTGAAGGAAGAAGCTTCAGGGAAGGGGCACTGCATCTTGAAGCCAGACAAGAAGCCCTGGAGGGGAGAGGAGAGGGGGGAGAGCAGGGAGGGGGGCAGACCGGGAAACAAGAAATCATCTCCTCTGACCTCTAGCGAAGTGCCCGGTTTTTTCTTTAGCTCTTCACATTTCCTAAATTTGCAGATCTGGTGTCCCGTTTTGCGGTTCCTGCAGCTGCTGCAGACGCCACAGTTGATGAGCCTCTTGCAGGGCACGCAGACCCCGCACCTTTTCCTCTTCTTCTTGGCCGGGTTGGCCCCGCCGCCGGCTCCCCCGGAGGAGGACGAGGAGGAGGAGGAGTGGTTCTGCGGGCAGTCCGCCAGGTTGGCGATCTGAAACGCGCTGTCTGTGACGGCCGCCGAGGCCGCGGCGGGGGAGTGCAGGGCTGTCATGACGATGACCCCCGGAGGTAACGAGATGCCCCCTAGAGCCGGGATGGCGGAGAAGGTCCCCACGCGCTCGGGGAGATTCATGATCTCCGCTTCGGCGGCGCCGCATTTGAGCTTGTTCATGCATTCCCCCGCCAGAGGTCTGCAGTGCTCGGGGGACAAGGTGGAGAGGAAATTAGTGTTTGCCATTTGCAGCGACGGCTCTGGCGGGCAGCCAGCCTTGGCCAGCCGCTGGGAGTCGTTCCGGTGGTGCAGGCCGGTCCTGCCGCTGCCGCCGCCGCCGCCGCCGCCGCCGCCACCGCCGCCGCCACCGCCTCCACCGCCGCCGCCGCCGCCGCCGCCCGCGGGGAGGATCGCCGAGGAGGAGGCGGAGGCGGAGGCGGAGGCGGCGGCGGAGGAGGCTTTCCTGCCGCCCCCGCCGCCCCCGCCGCCGCCCCCGCCGCCGCCCGCGCCCCCGCCGCCGCCCCCGCCCCCGCCGCTGCCCCAGAGCATGGCGGTGGCGGCGGCGGCGGTGGCCGCGTTGTCGCAGCTCCAGGGGGACATGCCGATGCGCGCGGCGGCCGCGGCGGCGGCGGCGCTGCTGGGGAAGATGGGGGTGGTGATGCGCGCGATCTTGGCGGCCTGCGGGAAGGCGCCGCCGTTGGTCTTGTAGAAGGAGGTGGCGAAGGAGCGGTAGCGCTCCATCTCCGAGTTGTAATCCACAAGGCTGTTGAGGGCGCCCTCGGGCAGGTGGCTCTCCTTGGGCAGCCCCGGCGCCTCCGGGCCCGGCCCGGGCTCCACGCAGACGTTGGTGTTCATGGTGCAGGGCGGGAAGAAGGGGTGCAGGGTGGACGCGGGGAGCGCCGCCGGGTCCGACGCCGGGGCGGGGAAGGGGGTGATGGTGGTGGGGTCGGGGCGGCGGGGGGAGGGGGAGGTGGGTGCGGGCGGGGAGAACAAGGTGAGGGCTGCTTTTTTTTTTTTTTTTTTTTTTTTTTTTTTTTTATTCCTCTCTGGGGCGCATCTCCACCACGGGCGGCGAGCTCCCAGGCTGGGTCTTCCTTGGCATTATCCTCCAACTGTTACAACTAAAAGAAAGAAAGTCATTCCAGCGGGCTGCACGAGGAAGGAGATTGCAAATAAATAAACGCCCCCCCCTCCTCTTCTCCCCCGTTATTCCGCCACAGACACCCAGAGCTCCCACATTCCCCGTCAGGTCGTTTGCATAACAATCATCAAGACATGCCCCCCCCCCCACCCTCCTCTCTTACCAACCGCGCTCCCCCCCCCTCCTCCCTCCCTCCCTCCCGCACACCACAGCTCCTCCCCGCTATTCTTATAACCCTCCTGAGAAAATGTATTAATAGCCCAGATACCCAAGGAAAGAGGGAAAGCCGGGGGTGACAAATGCCGAGGGAAAAGGGCAATTGGAGTGCTAAAGACATGCAAATCAGGGGTGGGAGGGCGCTACTACCTAGAAGCAGAGGGCATTTAAACATTATGAAATGTGTGAACAAGTGCCGCCTGGGCATGCAAATGCTGCAAAGTAGGAAACAGCCATGGCTCAGCGAGGGAGGGAAAACGCACAGGAAATTAGCAAATGAAGTACGGAGAAAGTCTACCATGCATCCGAGTATAAACTGTAAGCAAACACAATACAACTGAGAGCCAGAGAGGCTGCCCACATACAGTCTGAAGGAAAAGAGGCAGGGGGGGAGAAAAGAGCTACCAGCTGCCACAGTGTCCTTCTGTGTCTGCGGTCATTAGTTTGAATCCCAGCACAGCTGGCTCTGTGAGGGTCTTAATTCAAAGGACCAAGGACAGGTCTCAATTGGACCAGCCATTTGGTGGTGGGGCTTGGTGGGGGTGAGAGGATGGTGTTCTACTTGTTTAAAAGAAAGAAAAGATGGAGTAGATTAAAAAAAAATTTTTTTGAAGTAGCACAAATAATGTCACAGGTTTTAAACCAAGTGCACGCAGCCTCCATAAGAATATTTTCCAATAATTCCTAATGGAGGTTCCTGTCTCTTCCCAAGACAGCACAAGGAGAAAGCATGGGACTTTTTTTTTTTTTCTTTTTTCTTTTTTTTTTTTTTTTAGAATTTCTCACAGTCACTGGTTTTTACATTAAGTAAATTAGGGAAGGTGTTGTTTACCTGAAGAAATAACCATCAAAAATTATGTTTTTCTTTTGCTCCTATTAAGAGGAAAGTTTAATGTTAACTGGACATTTGCATTCATCTCTTTGCTTACAAACCATTATTTTGCTGTAGGAAGAGGTATCTTAGTTGTTTATTTCAAAGGGAGAGGTACACCACAGCCTTTTAAGAAGAAAAAGCAAGGACATAAAGTGTATACTAAACTGAAAAACCAGTTTCTTTGTTTCCAGATTGTTATTATTTTTAGGCCAGAATATCTTTTTTGTGACATCTTTTGAAGCCCCCATATGGGTCTAGAATGTGGAGTTGAGGGAATTCTAAATGGGGCCCAGTAGTCCCAGCCTCATATATTCAGTTCAAAATGGATATCAATTATAGTAATTATGCTTATAATTAGATTAATGAACCATTTATGCCCAAACTCCAAGTGCAAAAACTTCAAGACCTGCTGATGAGGTGCCCTAAAAAGAGGGGGTTTGTGTAAACAAATCCCTATTAGGCAAAGTAAATCAAGATAAGGAACCTCACCCCGCGGCTGGATTAGAAGCTAGCAGGCATCTTTCAATCACAGCAAGTCCCTAATCAGTCAGGAACCACCTCTGTGGTTTCGCATTAGGAAAAACTGCTCCCTTCAGAGCTCTGATGGCAATACAAAGGGTACCCCCAAAATGCTCCTGGCTAAATATTCTTCATGCTTGGGAGGGGGTGGGGGAAGACACACAGCAAGAATATGCATATAGCTTCAGTTTCTGCGAATCACATTATAACTCCAAGACCATAATAACTGCTACCCAGTAAAAAAAAAAACAAAAAAACTAGTTATGCCAACCATGCACTAATATCACCACATTGAATGGAGGGAAAATTTTCAACATTTTAGTCTTTCGACCTTGTTCCAAATAAAGAAATAATTTAACAGCTTTTTTTTTTTTTTTCCAGAATATGAGTGGTGTTCCCAAACAGAAGCTCCCCTTGCTTTTCTTCTTGCCATCACCTCCCCCCTTCTTCCCTTAAGGTTTAATGTCACCAGAAACTGTAGAAAATGACTGTGCCCAGATTCCAGGTCATTATTGTTTAATCAATGCCTCGCTGGAGCATGAACAAGGTCCCTAAAACCGCAGCTATTGTTTGGATTTTTCTTCAAAAAGCAAAATAAAACACACAGAGATAAACTAGAGTCCCATTCCAAAGCTGAATTAGACACCCACACTTCAGGATCCCCTTTTGCCTTGAAACAATGTGACTGTACATGTCTAATATGGTACGTAGCAGAGACACAGAGATCAAAGGTCATATTTAACATTCAGGAGGAGGGGCGGGTGCAGATTAATTAATAAATTAATACAGCGACGCCTTTTATAGCTGGAGTCCAGCATTAAATAATCTACTTTTACAATCCCAACGGACAGCACACATTTTTAAGAGGAAAAGAAAAATAAAAAATAAAAATAAAATAAAATAAAAAGAGAGCCAGAGAAAGAGAAAGAACAATCACTTACCAGTCTCTTTTTATTTGGGGAGCCTTAGAATTTGCAGACGCTGCCAGTCTGCCTTTAATTAGTTGCACATCACCCCTAACACAAAGAAACACAAATCCAGATGTGTCTTGGCAGCTCCCAATTACAACTTTAATACTTGTAAACAAACTGTTGGGGAGGTGGGTGGAGGGGAGATAAATAAATATGCGGATCAAAAAAAAAAAATACCTGTAAATGGCTTTTTTTTTTCTTGTTGCGGAGAGGAGGAGGAGGAGGAGACGGTGGTGGTGGTGGGGGTGGAAGGAGGAGGAGGCGGGGGGAGGCAGGAGCGGAGTGTGAGTGTCTGTGTGGGAGCGCGGGGCTGTGCTCGGTGGTCTCTCCTCTCCCGGCGCGTCGCTCTCCGTCCGTCTCCAGTCGCTGTGTGCGAGGGAGGGAGGGAGCCGGGGAGTCTCTCCCCTCTCTCTCTCTCTCTCTCTCTCCTCTCTCTCCCCCTGCCCCCCCTTCTCTCTCTGTTTGTGTGTGTGCGTGTGCGCGTGTGGCTGCTGGGGGAGGGAACGCGGAGAGGGGGCGGGGGCAGGGCGGGGGCGGGCGGAGGTGAGGACGCGGGGACGCGGGGACGCGGGCCCCCGCCGGTGATTGGCTGGGACCGCGCGGGGCGCGGGGGGCGCACGCGGCGGCTCCCGCAGGCCTCCCCGGCCGCCCGCCACGCTCCCGCCGCCCGCCGCGGCGCCCCCGCCCGCCCGCCTCCCGCCCTCCGCGCGGCTCGGCTCCGGCTCCGGCTCCCGCCGCGGCGCCCGGGCTGCTGATGGTTTTCTTTGCCGCCGGAGATAATTGTCCCTGGGCGGGCGGAGGGCGTATCCGCCACCCGCGCTGCGTGGGGAGCGGGGCGGGTGCGGGTGCGGCGGGGAGGAGGGTGAATAAACTTGTCTGGGTTTCCAGGCTGGGCGAGTGGAGAGGGAGGTGCGGGAGACGGAGGGAAGGTCGTGCTGCGAGAATGCTCTTAGCACCTTAGCCCGAGGCATGGAAATCCCTCTCCTGGTGCAGCCAGGAGACTTTTACAGGAGAGTGTCATTCAGGATTTTTAAGGAAGAGGAAACGGACCGGTGTTCTGATTGTAGAAGATCTTTTTTTTCCTTTTTCTTCTTCTTTTTTTAACAATATTGTGCCAGAATCCAAGTGTGTGTGTGGGGTGGGGGTGGGGGGGGACGGGGGGATGGTGATGTGATGTTTGACCATCTCAAAATCAATCTCAATCTTTCTCCTCTCTCTCTCTCTCTCTCTCTCTCTCTCTCTCTCTCTCTCTCTCTCTCTCTCTCTCTCTCTCTCTCTCTCTCTCTCTCTCTCGCCTCTTCTCCCACCCCTTTCCACTCTCCCTTCCAGCCCTCTTCTTTTACTATTCCACATGATTAAATATGATTTTTAACTTACTGCCCCTTTTTTTAAAAAAAATTCCAAACTTTACTTAAACAAAAACTACTTCCACATTAATCTACTTTATAGTAGTATGACTTCTTGACACTTTGGAAAAGTAGTTGAGTAATTGAAAGATAAATCTTTTACCACAGGTCAACTATAAATAAAACTCGTACTAGTAGATGCAGCTATGAATTAACTTATTCACTGCTGACTTAAAAAGATATTCTGGATGCATGCTGTTCTGCTATTAAAATAAAGTATGCTCCTGTGGAAATCCTTATGCAGTAAGATATAAGAACATGAATTTTTTATATATTTTGATAATATCAAATGACAGTACATTTTTTTAAACTAATGACAAACTACAGACATAGGAAAGGAAAAAGTTCAGATTGTTAAAAATGGCATTATAAAGCAGAGTAAAAGTTTTGTATTAAAATTAAATCTTTATATTCTAGATTCTAGAATAATGCAGTAGTATAGTTTCGGTGAAGAAAGAAAATTTCATAGTAAGCTGTTTCCTTTACAATAACAAAATGCTGAAAAGATATTTTGTGTTTGACTTATCCAAGGTTGACCTTGAACCATGTCAAGATTCTGCCAACTATAGAGGATTGATTAATTATAAGATGTTCAGAACTGTGGTGTGCAGCAATGCAGCCGCTGTTTCAAGAGTGGGCCACTATGGTAATAGGGGACATATTATATGTGACTCAGTGATTAATATGCATGAATTGTCTAAAATCAATCAAACTGGGTATTTGGCATTTATAGAAAAAAATAACTGGTGCTTAATAATTACTTAAGTTTACTAATAACTTTTTATACTTTCTTGATGCCTTATAAAAGCCAGGAAATACATTTCCCATTTGAATTTTTTTTTTTTTGAGCTAAGCATCACAGAAAATTTATCAGCAAAATGTAAGCAATTTATAATGAGTGAAAATATACCAGGAAGATTATAGTCTTTTGAAAATATTTAAAATATCAGTCCAATGATAAAAGTTTTGAAGTTTGTAAATAAAACAGTTTTTAAAGCAAATAAAGACATCATGCTTTCTCGTGCCATATTTGCTTGCCTTTTTCAGAATATTTCAAGCTTACTCTCAAAATGAAACCTAAACAAATGAGAGCAAATAATGTCTTAATTCCAAAGAATTGTATTTTCTAGCTTATAAAGGAAATACTAATTAGTCTTCATAATTAGAGCAACTATTCGTAACCCATATGTGTTAGACACTGTACTGAGTAATCTGATATTTTATTGTATCTTTGCAATAACCCTATGAAGTAGTTATTACTTTCATTGGAAACAATAGGCCTATAGAAATAAGATATTTCTATGGAAAATTGAGACTCATAAAAATTAAGTAACCTAAATTGGGTCATAAAGTTAGTATGTAATAAGGCTAAAATTTGTACTCAATCCTATGTATCTTCAAAGCTTTATGCTTATAACCTCTACCCTAGTCTCACTATCAATAATTGATTAATAAAAAAAAAAAACCCTCAGCGTCCTAGAACCGTACTTTTAATTATGATCACAGACCCTCTCCTTAATATGATGTCAACTGAACTTACAAAACGTATTATATAAACAATACATCATAGCTCTGCTATAGCATCCGCTGCCTGGCCTCTGAGGAATCGATCCTTAGCCAATGTGATAAAAGGAAACAGCAATTTCCTGGTCTGCCTCATACCCTTTATTTATTTTAATACTAATTTTTCCACACGCATGTCTGCTATGTCTCACAGTACTCCATGGCCTATGTTGCCTTCTCCAGGTTAAGTGTCAAGGTTTTTATAACAATTGCTGAGAATACTGAGTCCTCCACTAACTCTCCCTCAGAATCCACAGTTCTACAGCGTACTGAAAGTTAAGGTTTGTTCCCTCTGCAAAATGCCTGCTGCAGCTTCTAATGCCTGGAAGTGGTTTGTGCTGTTGCTCTCATTTATGTGTTCTGAGACCTGAAATGAGAGTGCAGGAGCTTCACTGATAATCGACATGTGGGAATAAAAAATTCCAACTGGAGTAGCGCCTGAAAAACGATCCCATACTTTGCAGAAACTTGGTGTTGTGCTGTTTTGAATGCATGGCTGCTTTCCATAATGGTCATGGTCAATATCATTGTCATTATCCTAGACTCTGTAAAAAGGTAGTTTATTTATTGTTACAAACAGATCGGGGCGGGGGGTGGGGGGGAGAAGTATCAGTGCAAAAGCTAGAGAAGTGTATATTTTTTTCATGTAGCAATCCAGGGTGGGGATTTCAGATCAAAGGATGGCTATTCTCTCCCCATGATTCATGGATCTAGTTTCCTTCCATCTTGGGACTTTATTATCCCCGAGGGAGTGCTTACCAACTCCATCTGGGAAGCAGAAGGACATGAAGGAGGCAAGATCCCTTCCCAAAGACCACGGGGTCTCGAAGGGACCCACAGCACAGCAGCTCCCATGCAATTGTCAAAAAGAGTCACGTGCCACAACTGGTAGCAGAGATCGCTGGACAGACACTTCCTAGGTGAAACTCCGTGATGGTGGAGTAGAGAAATGATTTTAGGAACAGCTGGCACCATCCCCCACAGAGTAACAGTGGAAGAAGAATAACCTGCTGAAGAGGTTGAGTGGGCCACACAGCCCTGAACCTACCTGGAGATTCCTCTTCCCACGGGTGCACCTGTGCTGATGACTGCCCTTCAAGATTACCACTAACAGCAGTCTTAATCACTTCGGGGAAAGTTTGGCATCTAGGAACAAATGATGCTTTCTTAAATACCTATAGGAGAGCCAAGATATGGTTAGAATATTCAAACAAGAATTAAAGAAATAAAGAAATGAATCTAAAGAATAAAGAAAGCACAAATAACAGAAGCAGAGGAAATACCACAAGTCTAAAATACATGGACTTAGAGGTAAATCTTAAGCATTAGCAGAGGTAATCTTTAACTGTCCCTTCCCCACCAATAAGATATTCCCTATTAGTCACAATTTTTTTTTTTAAAGAAAAACATACCTATTAGGAAAGGTTTGTGGAGCCCTCTCCCCTAGCATCCTAGAAACCACCTCATTTCTATAAAAATTATGTCTGTGATAGTACATCATGTTTATAGTCTGAAGCCTGCCTCTTCCCACAATTCACACTGGTTAAAAATATAAGCAAACCATTCATAGAAGGAATATGCCACTAAAACAAATAGGGAGTCATTTCTTTAACTCTCCTTTTACTGTAGCTTCCTGGGATTTTTAAAAACATTATTATTTGTCTGTCTTCTTTACCAGAATACCAGATCCTTGACATCAGGGGTTGTGTTTTATTCAGCTGTGTCCTTCCCCATGCATTGCCTGGCACATGACAGGTTGCCAACACTGCAGCACACAATACATACCATGTGGAACTAAGTTTTTCTTTATAGTATAAAAATGCAAAATTCATAAAAGGGCATTCAGAGTCCTTCTCCAATTGGCTGCATCTTTTGAATCTCATCTCCTATTATACCTTGAAAGAATTCTCTATTTCAGCATGTCCACTTCTTCCAGAAAACATCATTCATCTTACCATAACCAGATGAAAAACACATTTTTCATAATAACCATAAGCTAAGATGAAGGTACTGTTATTTACATAAAAAGACTTGCTTATGATGAATTATTATGTTATAATGAAATAATATTTTCAAGTTCCTTAACTGGGCATTAAAAAAAAAAAAAACACACACACTGTCAGAGTTTCCTTGGCGACTTAGGAGGAATTTGGTGAAATTAGTTCTTAAAATCAATATTCTACGCACCTGTTATTTCCTTCCACTTTTAATTAAATATCGATACATCATTATTACAATGTTGACCTTCATATTCGAAGCTGCCACTCTTAACCTGCCAACATCAGGTCATGTGCTTTGAGCTTTCTTTTTTAGCAATAATAAATTTGTCTTAAGCTATCTGCAGTCTCTTGCCTTGTTTTTCAAATGACTAACAAGATGCATTTATGGAATGGCTAGCCACTGGTAAGGATAAAATCTGAGACTATTGAGGATAATGATAATAATGGGTTCACAGGGTTAAACCCATTACCTGGGCC